GAATGGCATCGTGCCCTAATGCGAACTTCACGCACCGTAATTAAAAATTCGAGTAATAAAAATAATCAATAATTGTTTTAAATAATTGCAAATAGATTATCTTCTATATATATAAAAATAAGTCTGGTTTTCCTTCCTGATCAAACTTTTCCTTTTCAAATATAAAACAAACAAAACATTTCTTCATCTTTCTCACGAAACCATCTGGTAGCGAAACGGAGTTCGTCGGGTTTGCTAGTGTGTAATAAATCCACTCGGAATACTTTTAATCACTCATAAGTTAATTTATTTTTTATTAATTAAATCGATTATTTATTCATTTCGGGAAGTTCATGTAACTTGCCTCAAGGCAAAATACCAATATCAACTAGTTATTAATAATAATAGTAATATGAACTGGTTTAGTAGTAATAAGAACGGGTTTAGAACAAATTATATCTCATACAAAAATACACCCACCTCAGTGGCCATATTGAGTTCGACTGAAATGAGAAAATAAAATATAACCTTCAATTTTAATTAATTCAAGATCCAATTTTTTCAGCAAAACATAATATTTGGGGTTTTTATTTATTTATAACTACTTCTAATTGATTAAGTTTAGATGCAGGCAAATGTCATTGAAAATGCCGAAATAGAGCGAATATACATATATGATTTTACATTACCATTAAAATTAATGACCGATTCTGCCGTAACATGGCTACGCTCTGTTACCGCAATTGCATGGTAGCATAACATGCCTCGCGTAAGTGTATGTTGAAGATTAGTTATTCTCGGCGCACCTATTTTATGAGAATGAATCGTGTTATGGCGTAACATGAGCGAACAAAGTTTTTGGTTTTTTGATGTTGGCTCTCTGTGTTTGTACTCTCGAAATCGGCAATAATCTATCTCTACGGTGCTGACGCGAACGTTTTTTTCAATTTTGGATATACTTGTACTCAGTGGTGTTATGCAAATATTTTTTTTTACCGCAACGCTAAAATTAAAAAACCGGTTCAAAAACCGGTTCTCATGTTTGTACCGGTTCCGTTCAAAAAGAAAAAAAAACGAAAATCATTACAAAACCCATTTTTTGCATATATATGTATGTTTATCACATATAATAGGAACACTTAATAACAATTAGTTAAATTATTAATTATAAATTATAAAATTCACTAATAAAATCATTTTCTGTGTGTAGCAAATTTTTTTACGTATCGGTGCGTTCCGGCTCGACAACACCACCACCAAGCGTTTTTTAGATAAATATATAAAATATATTTTACATACAAAATGGCCAGTGCTGCGCAAATGAAAAGAGCAAAAAAACTTTTTAATCAGAAACCCACAATTTGCATAGCCGATCAATTGAAAATTCTTAATGATACATTAAAAAATAAATTAGACAGTCAATAAATTTGTTTTTTATTCCTTTATATATATATATATATATATATATATATATATATGGAGGTGTGGTCCATATTAAATACCAAAATTATAGACAAAATAAATTTCATAAAATATTATTTATATTTCGTTTATTTTATATATGATTAATATCCACGACACTATGTGTTGTCATACTGATCGTTAATAAAACGTTATTGGTATTTTCTTATGATAATTGAAAAGAAAGGTTTTAAGAATCATACATTTTAGGCAAATTCGACTAGGGAGAAACAAAAACCGTGTCCGATCTGACACTTGAATTTCTTTGTTTTTCTCAGTGCTGTCACTATATGGGCCAATCTGTCCAGAGACATGTGATGCGTGTTGACAAGCCGCTATGCGTGTTGGCAACCCGCTACATCACTCCGCCCTAATGAAAAAGATTGTTTCGCATCTCTGACTGCCATTCTTGAACTTCCTTGTAAATTTCTTTTGGTTGAGATTGTGTGATATAAATTGCCGTGTTGGCTTGTTGAGTTGTTTGATTGCTTACGTGGCCCTTCGCTGGTGAGTTAGCGGTTGAGTAGATGTGGCCCTTCGCTGGTGAGTTAGCGGCTGAGTATATTTGACACTTCGCTGGTGAGTTAGCGGTTGATGTATGTGGCCCTTCGCTGGTGAGTTAGCGGTTGATTGTATGTGGCCCTTCGCTGGTGAGTTAGCGGTTGATTGTATGTGGCCCTTCGCTGGTGAGTTAGCGGTTGAGTGTATGTATGTGGCCCTTCGCTGGTGAGTTAGCGGTTGAGTGTATGTGGCGGTTGCCAAATTGTTTGCTCCCTGTCTGTTGCCATGGTGCTTATTATCGACTTATTTACCATGATAATAAGTGATTTATTGAGCACGTGTTATTGTTGATCTTGAAGTGCGTGGTCGGAGTCTCAGTTGTAGGATTAGAATGTTCTTCTAGTTATGGCGGTTGTGAGCCATTTATAATAATTATTTATATTTTTAAAAATTCTTTCTTAGTAATTCTTGAGACTTCAATTTATTTTTTTGTGCTACTTCAAAATATGTCTTGATCTTCTTACCTTCTTGTATGTGTGTTACTAGTTCACTCTCGGGCTCACCAAAATATGGAGGTGTAGTAGTCCTCCATATTAATACCAATATTATCCAAATTATAGTCATAATAAATTTCATAAAATATTATTTATATTTCGTTTATTTTATATATGATTAATATCCACGACACTATGTGTTGTCATACTGATCGTTAATAAAACGTTATTGGTATTTTCTTATTGATAATTGAAAAGAAAGGTTTTAAGAATCATACATTTTAGGCAAATTCGACTAGGGAGAAACAAAAACCGTGTCCGATCTGACACTTGAATTTCCTTTTGTTTTCTCAGTGCTGTCACTATATGGGCCAATCTGTCCAGAGACATGTGATGCGTGTTGACAAGCCGCTATGCGTGTTGGCAACCCGCTACATCACT